ATATATATAAAATTGAATATGGCCACCATCCAATGTAATAAATCACTACAACTTATTGCTATTATCAAAAAGACAAGAGACAGTAGTTGTTGGTGAGGATGTGGACAAAGAGAAACCCTTGCACACTGTTGGTGGGAATGTAAATTAGTAGAGCCATTTTGGAAAAAGTATGGAGGTTCCTTAACACCCTAAAAACAATTAAAATTTTAAAATTTTTTAAATTGTTTGAAATATACAGTTTCATGTTATTTTCTTGCTGAATGTTTTAGATAGGGTCAAACAATCCAAAGAGGTGAAATAATTTCAGGATTGTTAAGAGCCAGTTATAAACCAGGCGTGCTGGCACCTGCTGTTAATTCCAGCACTCTGGAATTTCATTTTCACAAATGAAAATTTTGATGCTCACCTGGTTGAATTTTCTCCTTTGGACTTCCTGTCAGCAAATCCATCAGCCGCTCCTGTTTAATCACTGAGTATTAATTCCATGTTGAAGACAGTCCAGGATCCACTGTGAGCTGCGTGGGACTTTGCTCTCTCTCTCTCCTCTCGCTGGTGACTGTAGTGATGGTGCTCAGTGGTGGGGTCATGTTCTTGGAGACAAGATAATGTGGCGAGAGAAAACAGTCCCAAGAAAATTCACACTTCGTTTTTATTTTTTGGCAGGAAAACATCTTGCAGAAAGTGGTAATGACAGCCTTTGCAGACCGCACCGTTGTCACCATAGCTGTGAGTATGGGAGACCAGGTTGATTGGCTCCTCCTGAGTTTTGTTCTAAGATTCTACGACCTTTAAATTTGAGCGATTAAAATGTACATATTTGTGTTTTGCCATCATAATCTTTCTGCATCTGTACAAAAATAGTGAAAGAAATACTATTATACTTCAAAAGTGTTGTTGTTTTCCAAACTCTCTGCTCTACCTAATGCCCCTGCACTGCAAAGACAGAATTTCCTAAATCGAAGCAGGCCATGTACTAATTCTCTGGACTAATTTTATTTTCCATAATTCGATGGTCTGATGAGGAATTTCAGAAGCACAATTCCTCAGTGTCATTGCCAATCGTGCTGATATTGTTACTCAATTTCTGTACATCTGTCTTTTTAAAAAGAAGAAAAATGAGACCTCATGGCAGGGCAGGTAATTTCTTTATTCTAGATATTACCAAACAAATAGAAGAATTGCTTACATCCTTCTAATTCATGTTATGGCACATTTAAAATATTCCATGTAGCTGGGCGTGGTGGTGCAAACCTGTAATCCCAGCACTCGGAAGGCTGAGGCAGGAGGTTGCAGCAAGTTTGGGGCCAGCCTGAGCTACATAGCGAGTTCAGGGAAAGCTTAAAGCACAAAGGGAGACCCTGCCTCAAAAACAAACAAACAAACAAAAAACTAAAATAGTCCATGGTATTCTGTCTCTTTCACTTTGCACATGGGTGGGTTCTTGCTAGTTAGTCTTACCACTTAACAAAAACTATTTTTTAATGAGTGACTTGAAAATTTTTCCTCCTCCTGATCTTTCTCTTCTTTCGGTTTTTCTCTCTAGCACCGTGTCTCCTCTATTACAGATGCAGATCTTGTTTTAGTCTTTTCTGAGGGTATTTTAGTGGAGTGTGATACGGGTTCAAACTTGCTCACCCACAAGAATGGCCTCTTTTCTACTTTGGTGATGACCCACAAGTAGACCCTCATGATCTCCTCTGCGAAGTACCTGCTCTCTGGTAGTTATCTTAGCGGAGTCCCTCAGTAAGGCAAGGCTAGTGCTGTGCTTAGGGTGGGAGCGGGCTGGTGGAAGGAACCAATGGCAGCATATTATTCTACTACTTGGCTTGAACAGGTGCTTCTGGTACGTGTAACACCGAATAAGATGCATGTAGATGTTTTCACACGTTGCACATGCAAGCAAGCATTTATGAAACCGGAGACCCAGATCCATCTCCATCTTAAGGCCCAGTTTTACTATTCCTTGAGCACATTTTGTAGTCATCCCTAAAAATAGCATACAGCCCTCACCTGCTCTGAAGCATGCATTGTTCAATGTCAGTGGTCACTTAAAATTAACCTCTGAGTAAGGCAAGTTGCATAGAGAATGCCTGCTATGCTTCCACTTTTGTGAGTGATGCATGGGAGAAAGACCACCCTCTGAAGTGCAGCTTTTCCATGATGGCAGGAAATGACACCCTATCCAGCCCAGGTAAAGAAAAGCCAACTTTCTGTCATTTTACCAGCGAGCTCTGGGGCTGCTCTTCTCTGGAGCAGAGTACTCTGATAACTCATTCACACTAAGGTGTAAATGACTTATGAGGTGTGACGGTTGGCTAACTTGAAAAGTGGTTCTCAAATACTTTCCAGAATTTTGACACTGGAGAAAGTAGAGAGATACTTTGGGGAACAAAAGGACGTTCAATGCCCCTACATGAGTAGGGATGGAGGAGAAGCAGACCTTTGCTTACTTAACAGATTGCTTTTTCTTTACTCTGCATGAAGCATGAGGTTGTATGGTTCCATTGAGTATGTATCTGGAAGGTTGTGTGAGCACAACTTATATTTTTAACCAACAATACATGTATTCTTTTACCTGATTTATGTTCCATATCCACTGAATACTTTTCTATAGACAAGTGTCCTCCATCCATTATTGGAGACCACTAGTGTGAGGGTGGTCATGAGGACACCTTGAATTCTCCCCCACACAGAGAGAACCAATTCCTCATAACAGGCTCATAAAAAGGAAAGAGACCAGCACACTTGTACAGCCCCGTGTGGAAGGGTCTTCAGCTCTGTTAAGGGTTATTTCCCTTCTCTGCCTAAAAGTTGCTCATTGCTTTGGTCAACTGCCGCTAAACATTAGGTAATACCTTAAAAAGAGAAGTTTCTCCAGCTTCTAAAAGCAAGCCCAAACACTTCTAATAGTCCATGATATTTATTTATGAAAATGACTTATAGTCTTTACCCTTGATTACATTAACTTCTCTGGAGCATTTTGAAAATTTCATCAACACTCTTCCTATTGACACCACACTTTGTCAACAAGAGATAATTTGGATGTAATGGAATAAACACCAGCTATATTTATTTCTGCTGGCCAGCAATATTTCGATGTTTTACATTTTTTTAATAAACTTGATTTTAGACTATCAAGGCAAAGTTTAGGAGACTGCATTTATGAATTTAGAAACCAAACTTTTTTAACATCTTTGATGTAGTTTTTGAAGAAATCATATTTTTCTGGAGAAAAAATACACAGCAGATAACAAAACAGTTAATTAAGATTGTGTTTATTTTTTTCTCTTGACTGCATAGGTGTGCACATGGCTCTGGTCCAAAGCAATAGATATTATCCTCTAAGTTTTGATGATTCCTAAATGTATATTATTTAGTGAATGATAGGCTTGTCTAGGGGTGTTAAAAATAGTGAAGTGTTTTAGTGACTTTTCTGTGTTGCTGAGGCGAAATACTCAACACCCGAAGTTAAAGGAGAAAATGTTTATTTGGCTCAAAGTTTATAAAGGTTTCAGTTCAGAGTCAATTGGCTTCATGGCAGGGTAACACTATAGAGGGGCATCACAGGAGAAACAGTACAGGGCAAGCAGCAGGTGAGAGCACATTAGCCCTCTTTCTGTCCCTTATATTTCATGCAGGTTACCCGCCCTAGGGTGGTGTAGCACTCACACCCTTAATCCTGGACAGGACTGTGCCAAACCAACTGGAGGACTCTGATTTAGTAATCACACACTCTTGATCCCAGCACCACACACTCTAAATCCAGCCAGCTCTGAAAAGCACCCCCCACCCCATGACTGCATGGGGCTTTGGAGGGACACCTAGATACAAGCCTTAACACTGAGCATGTCCTAAGATGGCATCATTATCGCCCTCCATGTATGTATTTTTATGCCCCTGTGATTGTGAGTCACAACTGTGCTTGCTTTTCTGATGGCCTAATTGAGACTACCCGATCTCTGTGGTCCAGGGTGGAAAATATAGACCTTTGTCTCTGCAGATGGCTTTAAACTCGATTTGGGATTCTTAGGAGAAAGGCACTTTGGAAGACTGTGCGTCCACTAAGTAGATGATCTTTCTAGGTTTAGAACTCTGGCAGGGATTTCCCTCAGCACACAATCCAGGTCTACCATGTGGCTACTGAACACATGAAATGTAGGTAGTATGATTTGAGAATTGTTATAAGTGCAAAACACAGAGTACATTTCAAAGACTAGAACTAATGGAAGAATGTAAGAGATCTCATGAGGAATTTTATACTGGCTATGTGTCAACATGATAACATTTTAGGGCCAGAGATGTAGCTCAGTGGCGCCACACCTGCCTGGCAAGTACAAGATCCCGAGTTTGATCTCTGGCACACACACATCCCAAATGATAACATTTTGGATAAATTGGGTTAACACATATTATTAAAATAGCTTTCACCTGTTTATTTCTACTTTTTAAATTTAGCTCCTAGGAAGTTTAAAACTACATGTGGCTTAATTATATTTTGATCAGACAGTGCTGACCTCAGCACAGTAACCACACTGATCTTGCCCTTTTAAATTATAAAATTAATAAATAGTAGTAGCTGACATTTATTATTTGCTTATATGTACCAGATAAGGTCCTGGATTCTTTCACACTGACTCAGCTCACTGGATACTCACCATCCTTCTCCAAGACAGGTGGCATTATTACTGTCATTGTACAGGCACGAACCTGGAAGCATACAGAAGTTAGTAGGGCTGCCGAAAAAAGAAAAGGGAGGGTCAGGATGTTAGCTCAGTGTCACCGCGCCTGCCTCGTGAGTGCAAGGTCCTGAGTTTGATCCCCAGTACGGAAAACAAAAAACAAAAAGCAAAAAAAAAAAAAAACAAAACAAAACAAAAAACCAAAAAACCAGGGAGTGCCACCAGTATGAGTCTAACTTCACAGCCTGAAGACAAGTGAACGATCTCAGCGGTACCAGGGACTTCCTGCGCAGCAGCTGGGCGGCAGAATGGAAGAATCTCACACTTGCCAACCTGCTTTTGATTCTGATTCTGCTACTTATCTACTCATTTTTCTTATGTCTGTGAGCCCCTGCACTCTGCCTTATGAAATGGAGAGAGAATACCCATAGCTGAGGGATACTCAGAGATGATTTACAACTCTGTGTGGGGGACAGTTAATGAATGGCTCATGTTCAGTGAGTGGTGGCTTTTATCAGTTACTAGCACTAAATCCTCTCTGCAAGGCTTTCGTGGAAAGAGAGAATGAATGAGTGGTAGTGACCCCCAAAATGGCGATGTCTCAAGTCCTGGACAACTTATTATGACACTGCACGTCAGAATGGACTTTAGAAGCTGCTGCTTTCTGGGGCTTTTCTGATGGTGTATTAGTCCATGGCACCAGTTGACTCACACAAGAAATCATTGTAAAATATAACAGCTGGTCCACAGTGGCTCCTCTTAGCATTTAATTGTTTGACAAACATTTATCAGCCAACTTCAGGTTCCAGGAAAATGACGGCACTAATATATTAGCTACATTAAAGTTAATGCAATCCAAATAAAATCCAACCATGTTAGCCAGTATTTTAAGATACATAAATAAATGATATTCTAAAATAAGAAAAAAGGGGGGCTTGTGTTTTCTGCATTCCCAATATGTCAAGGCAAATAAGTGTCCTTGATTAATCTGTCAAAAGTAAACATACTTCATTTTCTTGGATTGTGCCCAGTAACAAATACACACATTCTCTTCTTTCTCAGCATCGGGTTCACACCATTCTGACAGCAGACCTGGTTATTGTGATGAAGCGAGGAAACATCTTAGAGTATGACACTCCAGAAAGCCTGCTGGCCAGAGAAGACGGCGTATTTGCTTCTTTCGTTCGTGCAGACATGTGAGGGAGTGTCTCAAAATGATACATGTGTTTTAAATAATGCAGCCATAGTCTGCTTAATGGATCATCAGAGGGCCTCTGTAGGGTGGCATCTTAAACCTCTGCTAATTTTTGTACACGTTAACAATTCTCTTTCCCATTTTCCAAGGTTGAACTGTTCAATATGTTCATCACTGATGGTTTCCTAATGATCAAGTCACTTTACCTTTAAGAATAGCAGGTCACGCTAAAACATGTAAGCTACTTTGGGTGGTAAATCAGTAGCTAATGTTTTCATGACTAAGTCTTAGTAAATACCTCTCACGTATAGAAGTTGCAGTGAGTTGTCATATTATTACACTCTTATTTGTAAGAATAAATTGTCCTTATTAGAGTCTCCATATGTCATTGGAAGAGAATAGAAGAAGGACATGTTTTCTCATGAAACACTTAAATTCATTATCTATTTTATGAGAAGAGTCTCTGTATTTGTTTAACAATATTAATAATGACTTCCTTAGCTGTCTCTTTCTCTGCTCTAAATTGTTTCCTGTCACCCAGAAGTTATCGCATTTATAAGTTCTATAACGCCAGTGCCTTAACTAGAAAGATCATGAAAAGAATATTTGATAAAATTATACTGGATATCTGAAAAATTATACTGGTTTCCATTTTTTCTCTGTCCAGTAAGATGACAGTTCATAAAATAGCAGGTATCGTGTGCCTTTTCCCAAGTGAAATAATTTTGAAAGCGTGGTTAATTTTCAGTGGTAAGCTGATTAACTTTTCCATAGTCTATTCCTCATTAGCTGTAGTTATGATTCTGCACACTGTTTAGGAGTCAAACAAAAATAGGCAAATGGCCTTAATATATA